TAATATTTGACTCATAAAGCATTTTGGACTTGCGTGATTCAAACCAAACACGTTTACGGCGTTGCATTTCAATCAATGGTCTCTCCGTTTGGAGTCTGTTGCCGAGGCGCAAATCACACGCCATGCTGTGTTCACCCTGCACTCACTCAGCAAGGATCTAACTTGTGACTGATGAAAGATGGCGACCAAGACGGCGGAGACCTGGGGATGGGGGGCGCGTCGAGTCATGAGGGGCAGACGGAGGTTACATTGGCTCTCACCCCCCTCCGCCCACCCCACCAACCCACACACATAATCACTCGCAGCTGTGCAGTGTTTATCCAAGAGAGGTTCCATTGGAACTGGAAACGTTGCCGAATCGCTCAATTTATCTCACATTTCTGTGTGCCGTCGTCAATTGCTCTTTTCTCTTTCTCTTCTGGAACTCTCTGTCTCAATCCTCCCCGCTGCATCTGATGAGCGTTGCCTCCCACACACTCTCTCTCTGTCTCTCCCCCTCCTTGTCCATTTCTTCCCGCGCTCCCTTTTTCTGCTATTTGTTCTCAATAGCCCACTTCCCACTTTTCAAAAGACTTTCTATTCCCTTTCTCCCGTGGAAGATCCGCCCCTGCTTCCCAGTCCTGGCAAGGCCGCTTCCAGTCAGGAGGAGTGAGAATCCGAAGGGATTCATGAGCCAGAAATGGAACCATATGTCGCCATCTGGGTTATTAGGAGAACGAGAGGCACTGCTGTTTTGCATTTGTGATCACCCCACAGGAAGTTTTTTTTAGGTTTTGGGGGGATATTATGGGAAGTTTTCAAGCCGTCTTTCATCACGTGAGCAACAGTTTCATCAAGCGGTACAGTTCAAGATGGTGTGCGATTCATTTTTTTTTTTTTTGGGGGGGGGGGGTTTTTTTGCAGTACTGTGAAAATGTCATAAAAACACTTTTTTTGGAATGTTAGTTTAATTTCATTTCTTCCGGTAGTTCAATGTACTTAACATGTAAATATTTTAAAATGAAAACGTTTTTCGAGTTTTATGCTGATCTTATGACTTGAGCTTTTTTATTTATTTTTATGGCATAGCCAGTGTGACCCTCCTACTTCAGCTATCATTTACTCACACGAGAGATGCCGTTATTACCATCCCGCTACAAACACGAGCCAGACCAGTTTTTACTGTTCCAAACCCAAACTATAGTGTGCTTAATTGAACCACACTGTGTGGAAATGTGGTCATATCCTCCCCATACTCCAAGTAGAGCTTCATTTGAGAGACACTCAGAACATTCAGTAATAAACCTTCACTCGTGTCATTGGGTTTAGGGAGGAAGCGGTAACAGCTTGCCACTCAACCAGCTCCCCTACCGTTGCGCTTCTTTGCAGCGTAGGTGGACGATCAGTGCAATGATGTGATCAAAATGATACACCAACTATTAATGTCCTCCTCCGTGCTGGGAGTGCTGTCAGTGACATGCTGCAAATGGACACTCAGTCTCAATG